GTTTCAATTTACACATCGTCCGATGCCAATTTGGTAGACATCGCCCAATCCTAGCTAGGTCATATAGCCAATAGCGGAAATGATACTTTTAAACTTAATTTAAAGAGTGATATATTGATATTAGTGCTGTCAAATCAAGAATCACGATTAATTGCATCCAAAATAAAAGATTATGTTTACATATACACAGATACATGTATATTTTGTAACAATTTACAAATAATTTAATAATAATTAAAAAAATTATATAAAAACGTCTAAATTGTAGCATAAAGTAAAAATCTATTTATATATGATTTATATTAATAATATATTATATATCTTAAATATACATGTATGTGTGTATTTATATATAAATATAACCTAAATATATACAGTACACACACATAAACCTTTATTTTGTATGCGATTAATCGATTTGACAGCACTATTTCATATTAAAATATTTGTTGTTGTTATTATCATTAACTGTATTTAAAATGTATTTAAAAATACATATTTCTTCTTATTGTTATCATCATTACTAATATATTTATAAATTATGTTATAGAAATTCTATATAAATGTTTTGATTGTAGTACACATACAGTAAAAATCCTAAAAATTACTAATACACATAGTAATTAAATGTTTTAATATTTACTTACATTAGATTAATATTTACCTACATATATTTTAATTAGACATTTAATATATAAAAAATACCACGCAAGCAAATCATTGAATCAGTGCTTTGTTTGATTAAATGAACAGTTGATTCATTGAAATGAACTGAACTAACAAGCTCCAGTTTTGCTTCTGAAATCTGTATATTAAAACATCCTTCTAAAAAATGTTCATACTGGCCAAGAGAGAGACAAGAGAGCATCACAAAACTACATGATCATTACGAAACTTCATGGCGACATAAAAAGCGCATTTAAATCATCGCAATATTCATGATACTGCTTAATTTAATAACACTGGCGAACTCACAAAGAATATATGGTGAATGTTCAATAAACATCCAAATTATCATCCAGCCCTAGCTGGAACACAGAAGCCAGATTCTCAGAGTTGCACAGCAGGGAAAAAGGCTCATGGACACAAAACAAAGCATCTCACAAATCCCAGCTTCCTAAGCTCTCTAGGCTCTTCTGTGTATTCTCCAAGAGACACACTTTTTGGGGCTGCGATAGGAACCTAACCTTTTCCAAAACACACAAGCTCTCATAAGGCTGTTTCATCCTCCTCCTCGACACTGTTACGCCTTGTGCAGATGTGACCGAATTCTCAGGGTTTGCAGAGACACTCAGTATTTCCATCTAGGGTAATACCTCCCTAATTCCACCATATCGGTATGTTTCATTATCCTTTCTGGCCACTAGGGCGACGATATGCACCAGCTGAGAATCTAAGCAAGCTTGAGGCAAGACAGACCTGCCACGGCAGCACTTCTAAGAGCATGGCGCTGTTGGCCTAATTTAATTTCACCAACCGCGAGGAGAAAAATAACATTAATTAATAAGCCACTAAAACAAGAGGATTACAGAGAGAGAATGCCTCCGATGCCACTTCCTGATTGCGGTGCTGATTCAATTATAAATTAATTAATCGAGGCGCAAAACACAATTTGGACGTTGCTGTGCTAGCGGCATGAAACAAACACTCGGTTTGACACTTTGACATTGTCCGTTCTCCCTTGCGTCTGGGAAGGCAGCTGTTATTTGTGTGTGTTTGTAGGGGGGCAGGTGGGAACGAGGGACAAAACCACCGTTTGTAAAGCAGGTCTCTCTCTGTCTTCATCCCTTTGGTGTCTCCTGCAGCTGCTGTGGGGTGAGGACATGCCTGTTACTGCTCGTCTAACAGGGCCTGGCCTGTCACTCAACGCTGTCGTGCCCCAAAGGGGGTACGAGTCCCAAAAGCAGCTGACGGACCCCTTGTCATTTTCATAATTGCCTACTGCAGGTAGTCTCATCTTGCTACGAACCACAGCAGTTCTATTAGCCACATGCTAAAATGTCAACACTTACTGAACTGGCTGCTCAATAAAGGGCAAACATTTTGAGCTGCACAAATAGATCTGTAAAGTCAACATGAAATCAAAATAGAGGCCAATTCTTTTCTCAAAACACTTATTGGATTAATCGTGCACAATTTAGTTCATGTTTATGTTGGTATTGTTATTGTTAAGTACATTTTTTAAAATCAGTTTCAGTAATTGAAATAAAGATGAAATAAATTCTAAAACATTTAAAAAGTGAAAAATGGATATAAATAGAATAGAAATATATTAGAAATGTTGCTTTGGCAATTTTTTTTGGAAATTAGTAAGTTTAAGCACTAAAAAAATACTAAAATTGAAACTGAAATAAATATAAAACTTTTTAGAAATATATTTAAAAAATGCCAAAACACATAAAATTACTAAAACTTCAACTAAAATTAAAATGAAAATATAAAAATAAAAGATCATTAAAAATTTTAATAAATGCTATAATAATATAAATAATACTAAAATAAAACCGGTTTATGTAGAAAAAAAACTATTTGTCTCATCTTTAATCAAAAAGGCCAAATTGTCTCTGGATCAGAAACTATTTTTCTTTTTGGCTGGCGACATCTAGAGCAGAAATAAATCTATCCAATTAGCTAAAAATGTATTTAGTTATTGTTTTAGGGTTATGTTGTACTGTAGGTAACAAAATTGTGTCAATAGTTAGCGCAATGAAGATCAATTTTAGATAAATTAAATGAATGCCCAACTATTAAATACCGTATTGTCCCGAATATAAGACGATATTTTCTTCTTGGAAATACATCTGAAAAAACGCGGTCGTCTTATATTCAGGGTCTAGACTTTGACATGTCAATAATACACCCACAACACTAGGTGGCGCCAAATACGCATAAAACGAGTGTGCCATGAAATACGTAATGTAATGCGTGTTGTAAATATCGCGAGTAAAAACAAAAGAGAAAGAAATGCAATATGAAAATAATTGAAGACAAAATGTGTTTTACTGAGAAAAAACAAGATTTGGTTTTTAAAAAGCCTTTTTCCAAAAGGTACATCTGGAAAAAGGGGGGGTTGTCTTATAATCAGAGTCGTCTTATATTCGGGCCAATACGGTATATCAAATCTAATGGGTAGTGAAAGGCGTTTCATGTTTACTTTTAATGAATAAAAGTTGAGCGATGGTTTCTTGTCTATCGCAGCTATTACCAACCAAAAAGGTGCGTTTAACACCATATTTTCTCTTTATGCCCTTTATCTGAAAGAGATTCTAATTACGCATATGATAACCCTAACAGTGTCTGGCCTCTTGTGTCTAACATCCTTTCCATGGGTTTGGCTGAGAAGACATTCTATTAAAATTAATATACTGGGGAGGCAGACAGGAACCCCTGAGGTCGCTTTAAGCTGCCCATTATGGTCGGGAAAGTGAACAGAACCAGAAGAATCCTACAAAAAAGTATTAAATATTTAGTCAAAAAGTTTCTGGTTCCCTCTTTTCCATCCATACTTTTAAATGAGGCCAGTAGAGCAGTTCAAAGCAGTGCTCCAGAAGACACCATTAATAACTAACGTGACACACTGTTTGCGAACAAAAACGTTTGCCTGTATCTGAGGTGAAAGGTCTACAACTTCTCCACTTAACTCCAACATGTCCAATTCTGTACACATCTCAGCTTCTCAGAGCCACAACATTCCACAAAAAAAAAAAAGAACTGCACTCAAGACTCACCTTCTTCAGCCGTCCACTCTTGGTGCCGACGAAAGCCACACAGTAGCCATTATAGACGTAGGAGGTCACCGAGGTCATGCGATCACGGCTTTCCGTATAAAGCGTGTGTCCGGTCACCAGCTGAGAGCCGCCAAGGGGCTGGTTGATGTCCAAACCGCAGAAGGAGTCATCAATAGGGACAGGCTACAAGAGGAGAAAGGTCAACCGAGAGTCAGCAGTTTGCTTTGAATCAAAAAGTCAAGGTCAGTTTGGTTGTTTATACAGACATCAGTAGGGAGGGTGAAAAGGTTGCACTGATTTTAATACAGCGAAGCACTTTGTAAGCAAATCACATTAACCGATCCAACATCAGCTGGTTGCTTTGCTGTCAAGTGAAGTGGAATTAGGGAACACTAAAGGTCGATTTGCACTATTTTTGGTACAAAAAAAGGTACAGTTGGACAAAACTGTACATTTTTACAAACTATCACACAAAAATGCTGAAATTATATACTGTGAAGATTTGTCATTTTTTAATTTTTTATTTATTTACACATTACACACTGTTGACATTTTTTTACTGTCTACAATTTTTTTTTTAGGTATTTGGAGTTACTGTTGAATAATTGTAAAAATACATTTTTTAAAGATCAAACCTACAGTATGCACACACAAGCTTAAAAGGTTCTTTTTTCAGCAAGGACGCATTTCTGTCGGATGATTTCTGAAGGATCATGTGACACTGAAGACTGGAGGAATGGCCACTGAAAATTCAGATTTGCCATTACAGGAATAAATTACATTGTTTTGTATTTTTAATCAAATAATTGCAACCTTAGTGAGCATAAGAGACTTCTTTCAAAAGCATTTCATAAATCTTACCGACCCCAAACTTTTGAACAGTACTTTACATTCACTATGAATTTTTCCAAGACTTTTTAAAGCATGGAAATCACTATTTAAAAATTCTCTGACATTTACAGGTTTTACGGTTAGCGTGGGATTCAGTTTTACTAGTGTATCACACTATCAAGTGACACCCAACCAGCTGGTAGTTTGGGTTTGCAGAGCAGACCAGAGAATACTGACTCTCGTTCAGTTTCAGAGGGGAGACAGTAAACGGACCATTGAGTGTGGCTTCCCCAGCCAGATGCTTGGTTTTCTGTTCAGCTGGGCAGACATGTTCCCGCTCTGCTCTGGCGAGTCCTGCCGGGCTCTCTGACTGTTTATTACCCTGTGCTATGAGAATAGTGTAGCTCACCCCGGCTGGGGACTAAAGCACATTCATACACACACACCACACCAGCCGAAAACAACACCTATACAGATGATTTAAATGATATAGTCATCTAGTGTTTTTATAAGTTTCGGCACTTTTATGTTGCTGGGGTTTTTATTGATACTTGTAAACTATAACTTTTTTTCTTTCTTTTTTTTTTTATAGTTTACAAAACTTTTTTTTTTACCATGCCACCTTTATTTCTGCTATGGTTTTTAAAAGAATTGTCTCTCAGTTGTGTCATTTCCAGGGGTGTACTTGTTTACACCAACAAGTTAATGTAAATATGATTATCATAATATTTTTAGTGTGCAATTTCAATTGTTGTAATTTTGTCAATTTAAGCAACGAAGTAAAAATTATTATTTATTGGTTGTATTTGTGACACATACTGTATAATGATAGCTATTAGTCTTAGCAAGATAAAGACTAAAGATTTGGAAATGACTACTGGAAATGACTGAAAATGTACAGAAACCTATGGTTCTCCATGTATATCAATTTTTGGATACCGTTAGTAGACAAATAAACTAGTCAGAGTGTAAAATGTGTGTTCACAGGGCCAAAACAAACCCATATTTTTCCCCTCGCTCGATCTCTATTGCTCTCACCCTGCATATCCTCCTCTCTCTCAGACACACACATACACACCAACTTAAACTGAAGAGATTGAAGCTTGTAAACATTTACAATGTAATGGGAAGGTCTATGGCCCATTTTTCATGTCACATGCATGCATGGGCCACTATCAATCCCCATTTGAGTTTGGGCGGCTAGTTACAACACTCGGCGGCGTTTAGATTCAGGTCATCGGCGTTTGTGACTGACACTGGCCTCAAAGTGCCATGTAGAGTAAGAGGGATGGATACTGTGTGCTCGGTCATGATGCTGAATGTAGCACTGCTCGTCTCCAACACTACTCCGCAGCCCTTTAATATCAGCCTGCTCGACTACAGGCTCACGCTATAAAATCTTTACAGCCTCCCAGCCCTTCACAAGCTGGGGGATGGCAATAAAGCAGGGATGTAAATGCCTCGAACTCTGCAGATCTCGTTCCAGCCCTTCTTCATCGTGTTTTCTTATATTTTCCAGTCCAAAAATAACTGCCTTAGAGATTTTCAGATCTGTTTCTCAAAAACAGTTGGCCTTTGACTACATTATTTCAATGTTTGTATGCAAAGTCCTTTTTAAGTCGGTCCACTCTGCATTCATCTTGGTAATGCCCTAGGGCAGCTATGTTCTAGTCTTGCAAGTATTATGCTAATTTACAGAAAATGATTCTGGTCTTATATTGTAATAGCATCAATCACAAATGAAATCTGGCAAAGATGGCATCATAAATTTTGCTACTTTAAATATATCAGTTTGATTTGAGCTAATGTAGCAGAACTTATATTTCTATATGCATAGAATTGAATAACCAATCAATATGATAAATATGATTCATTTTTATTGAGTACTGCATTCTATAAATGTTGGTCAGTTAGAGGGAAAACAGTAATCGGACCATGTAAAACATGCAAAACAAAGCAAAAAACAAAACAACACAACACAAAAAAAACAAAAACAAAAACAAAACACAAAACAAACAAAAAAAATAAAAGCACAAAAACACAAAACAAACAAAAAACAAAACAAAACACAAACAAAAAACACAAGACAAAACACACACAAAAAAACAAAAAGCAAACCAAAAACATTGCTTTTGAACATTCAGCATCAATTTTTTTATGTGTCCTTTGTTTGGAATCTATCGAAAGTGTCTGATTCGATTCAAACGGCAACCATTATGCTTATCACTGGAACCCATTTCCCTTGACTGCTGTTTCAGGTAGGGGGTTATTGTCCCATACACAAATCAGGACAAGGGTCGTCCCTTTGGAAGCCACCTGATCAATAGAATGTCCTCCTTAGATCACTGTTGAAACTGGCACTGCGATAGGCTTGATCAGGCAGCCTGATGAAACGTAACACCGGCTGAATGAGTGAATAGAATCAAAGGGATGGATGTGAAGCAGCAAGCAGGTTGGCCAGGCAGTTGGAAGCTGGGATCTGTGATAAATCTTTCATTCGGCCTTCTCGGCTTGTGACTTCTCTTCCTCCTTCTATCACCCTGTGCGTCTCTAAGTTTCACTTTCTCTGTAATTCAGCAGAGACACTGGAGCCGAAGGAACTAGACTGAAGTCTGCGCAGAGGCCATGTTTCCAGTGATCAAAAATAGCCTAAAATAGGCCTAACTGACAGGAAATTAAACAAAAACATCACGGTAGAGGATTTCTAGCAGTATTTTTAGGTAAAACAAGCTTGAATAGCAAATGAAAAAGTCTGAGGAGGATTATTTCACTGTAAAAATATTTTCATGCTCCTACTGGTCATGAAAAGGGAGTAAAAAAAGCTTTGTGGCAGCAAGAGGGTGATGAGTTGTGGCGATTTGTGTGGGCTCACAGACTTCGCTATGCTAAACGCTAAAAATCTACCTGCATAATACCATAGATTTATTGAACGGCATCGACTGAGGAGTTTTTACAGAACATATATCTTCATGTTTTTATATCTCAGACCTCCTAGTACCAGGATTCCTCTAGTACCAGGAGAGAAGACGCAGGAGGTTTCTAGTGCAATGTTTTTAATGAGGCCTAGAAAAACATGGAGGAGGGCTGGCTGACATCATAAGCCACTGACGGCCCCCCTGGGGTCAGACAGGCGATCCTCTAGGGTCCTTGGGGCCAGAGTGGAGTCTGCTACTATGAAGACCACCCTGCTCAGACACTCAATAATGTTTTCCTCAGAGTGACAATCACCTCTGACATCATGCTAATTGCGAATTTACTGAAGCTAATAAAGGATGCCCTGGAGAAAACCACGTAGCAATAGTTTATCATTAAGACTCTCTCTTAAACTTCATGCACACACATTGCAAAACAATCACTGACAGCCATAAAAACATACACACATTCATATATATTTATAATAGCATCGACAAACCAATTGTCAGTGTGGTAACCTGTAAATAAACATATGCACAGAGAATTATTAGTGCCTCGAATTCAGTTTGTTTACACCCCCGGTTAAACAGCAAAAACTCAGAGGACTGTGGTCTTTTGGGAGCAAGACTAGTAAAGAACAAAGAAAACGCTATGTGACTTCTTATCACATTCTCCTTTTTTTTGGAAGAATTTAGGGATGTTTAAAACTACATATTTTTAAAACTGACTGGTAAGTAAGCCCTGAACAATTAATCTGGTTCTAGATTTACTTGCATTTAAGCACGTTTTTAAGGAGTGTCTACATAGGGTAAGAACACTGAAAAAATTAGACTAGAAATCATTTTATGGGATTTTTTGGGGTGTGCTTTCATGCTTAGACTAACCCTAACCATGTCTGACATTCAATCCTGTAGGTTGTGGTGTCAACAGGATTGCTTGGATAGTATCCTGTTACACTCTTAAGAATGAAATATGGATATGCAAGAACACCAACCAGCAACATAAACATTAAGGGTGCTTTCACACCTGGCTCGTTGTTTCGGAACCTGGCGCGTTTCCCCCCTTAGCTCGGTTCGTTTGGGCATATGTGAACACGGCAATCGTGCTCGGATCCGCGCCAAAACAATCGGTCCGAGATCGCCTGAACGAGATGGTCTCGGGCAGATCCTATCTTCATTCCAAAGAAAACATAAAATTAGTAACAATTCCCCATCTGACTGTTTTGATCTACTGAGATTTTCTAGTGAGCAGAAGCAGGCATGGGAACTGTCAGTTTCATAGAGGGCAAAAATGTATATTGCACCAAGAAAACAACATTCAAAGGCAGAGAACTCGAAATAAAGCTTTTAAATAATCCATGCACACAACAAGCTCAATTAAAGTAGTACAATTTGGAAAGAGCTTCCATGATTAGGGTTTCAGATACTACATCTAACAAGGCTTCACATTCAAAGCTGGTTTAACAAGCTAATTAGTAAGCTAGCTGCTGTGGCTAGTAATAACAAAAAAGGTTTCTTACCGCTTTGGTACAAGGTACATCCTTTCCCAACAGCCAGTTGAGCTCCAAGTTCCCCTCTCCTTGATAGCAGGACTGCATACGCTCCTTGATCCGTGCATTGATATCCCGGATGCTGAAGACGCAGAGGGCCGAGTCGTCAGGTGGATGGTGGTACTGTTTTTGACCTTTGGAAAAGACAGCAAAGAGCACATCGTCTTGAGCGCTTATGTTGAGGGATGCTGCAAGCACTCGTCCAGGTTTGCCCAGGTAGGCTGCTTGTAGAAGGCGGTACTCAATTCTGTTTCGGACACAACCAATAGGCAATGACACATAGGAGTGGAATTTGTGGTCATCTTTGCAGAGTCGGACGATTCGAGAGGTATAAAACAGGTCGTTTGAGGGCCCGCTGGAAGACATGCTGTTCTCAGGCGTCTCCGGTTGCACGGTCAGGAAGTAGACGAAATTGCCACTGGCAAAACCATAGATGTAGTAGATGTCGAAATGAGAGACCAATGCCAAGGTGTCGGAGGGAATCTTGATGAGTGATGAAACAAAGTCAGTGTGTAGCTCGTAGTCCAGCATAGCTGAAGACTCCGGGTCACGAGGAAGCTTCCGACTTGAGATGGTTGGAAAGTAGTCTTGCTTCCCATCCACAGCTGTACCAATGAAGAGGGTCCCATCCTTGCCCTGTGAGGGCACGATGACTCCATACATGGTGCCCGTCTGGTTGACACTGGAGAGGTAGTGCTCCTTTTTATGAGAGGGCTCCACCAGGATGAAGAGGTCGTCCAACCGTAGCAGTTTGCAGACACCTTGGTAGAGGCTTCCGCAGGCAAGTAGTCGGTTCTGAGAGTAGTCGATGAGTAAGAGTTTGTTGATGTTGTTGGTAGAAACCAGAGGTTCAGTGCAAGGCTGAACGATAAGTGGAGGGTAGCAGGCCTTGTTGTCATCTTCTGGACCAGTATCATGGGATACTAGGAGTGTCAGGTTGCCTGATAACTTGTAGACGCGGTTGACAGCACCAATGTAGAGTGCTCCTGTCGTCTTGTGAACCGTCATGTGGTTGAAAGCCCATTCTCGTCGCTCAGGGTGAAACGTTGTAAAGGACTGTTCACAGGACACTACAGACAAGATTAAGACTAACAACCAACACGTAAAGGACAATTTAGAACCACATCCAGGGCTTTGTTTCAAAGTCCTCTTTGAATCCTGCTGTCCCTCCATGGTCAGAGGGACCCGACAGGTTAGAAAATGAAGAGTTTAAAGAAGTATCAGAAGGCTTAACCTTCGTCCTCGTAGTCTAAAGGCTAACTCTATGGTCCAGTGCCTCACCAGGGTCTTCACATTTTTCTGAAAGAGAGAAGAGCAAGAGTAATGAGTACATAAATCCGCATCAGAACATCTAAACACGCAAAAGGAAACAGACAATGGAAATTGCACCTCATTCACTAAACCAAGGTCCTCCTTTGAAGGAATGTGTCTACTAACCCAAGAGGGGGCGGCTTCTCTAAGGGACAATGGCAGGTAAGGTTTATCTTCACATTCCAAAGGAGTTGTTGGGCAGGATTACACAAAGCAGGAAGGTGAAGCACATCGTAGCAATGGAAATTAGCATGACCTGAGTCACGCTGTTTGCTGGTTCTCTGAGACAGCAGTTTCTAAGAACGGCATTCAGTCAGAGGTCTCTAGAGTAGCGCCTGTTTTGTCAATTACAAGATCTAACATCAAAAAAAAAAAGAAAGGAACTGTAGCAAGAGCATGTCTGAATAGGTCTGACAAATCGTTTTAGAAGTATTCTTCTTTTAGCTGTGGAACCATTTCATTTTTTGAGTAATGCATTTATGTCAAGAAAAGTGCGCTTAAGAGCTTTCCTTTATGACAAATTTTAACATCACCCTCTCGTTTCTTGGCATTTGCTTCTTTCTTATTATCTACACTTCCCAACCTAGTTTGTCAGTGAGAAAAGTACATTGAGAAAAAAAAGCAATTTATGTAATAGCAGTTTGCAAAGGCCGGTATAGCGTCATCTCCCCCATATGATAAATCAAAAGGGGAGCCCCCTTTCTTCTGCATTTATCCCAGGGAGTTAATTATCCAATCCACTGCATGAGGGAGGCCTGGATCTTATTACTTCAACAAAGTGTGAACAAATTGGGTGCCAGTTCCATGCACCCTGTTTTTACTATCTGCTCTGTAAGGGGGCTGTTTAACAGGATCTGAATCCATTAATTATGCTTTCCAATTCTGTTCGTCTGTTTCTCTCTCTTTCCTTTTTTGTATTCCTTTGACACCATTAAGTCCTGGAGGGATTAATCATTGGCACCAGAGCAATCATCCCTAAACGAATAAGGCAGCCATTAGAGATATACAATCTACACTGTCCGAACACATTCACCATATTTCTGCTCCTATTTTTTCCTTCCATTTGATTTGCATGCATTATCAGTGCTAGGTGGTCCAAGAAGGCTAACAAATGTAGGCAATGCCTGCACATCAGAGAATCACATAGGATTAAGCAAAGCAGTCCAACAATTATAATTAGACGAAACATGGTGATGAGTTTAAGTGAACAGGGCTTTGCTAGTGTGCTCGAACATGTCAAGATATAGAAGCTATTGTTTGTCGCTTCGTGACTTGAATGTAGAGGCTAAAGGGACAAAGTGATCAAAGGTAAATGGCATGTGCAGAATTATAAACAGTACTTCACTTACATATAACAGAGTGCTAATATCCTAGCTTAGCTGTCCTCCTAGCTCAGTTCTGAAGTGCAGTATATTAGCATGGAGTTGTAAAACCCAGTCCCAGGGTTGCTTTTGTCCTTCACTCTGCTCTTTTGTGTGACTTCGTACATGCTGGAGGTGCAAAGCACATTCCCCTGGAGGTGTTATCTGGCATTTGCAGAGCAAGCAACTTTTTGCAGCCTTCTGGCTTTTAGGCCTCACCTTCACGAGCACAATCACCTCTTCTCTCCAACTGTAAACCGTCACCTGTTTTATCTTGTGTGATTTTGCGCGCTTAACTACCCCCCCCCCCCCCCCCCCTCCCCCCTCCC